GGTTGTCACCATTTCAATGGGAGTTGAAACTTTCAACAAAAACGATTTCAACGGTTAGAAACTAATTTTTTACCAGCTTCAGAATTTGACGATTCATAATAACACGTTCATTTGTGAATGAAAAACGTAGCCGCTCGACCCTTCAACTTGGACCCGTTAAAATACGTATTGAAAAAGTGATCAAACTTGCGAACAGACGCGAGATGCAAACTTTTAAAATGCAGTGAAACAAAAAACAACAGTTAAATAAATAAAATGTTCTTTCTTGAACAAAATTTTCAAAGAACGTTGTCTACCAGTTAAACGAGTGCAGTGGGCAAAATGCAGGGAACAAACGGCAGTCGTTCGATGATGGGCGTCCAATTTCGGTTCCCTTTCACTGCCACCAGCGCGCCTTCACCGCTGTCAATCGCATTCACTGATGTTTAAGCCCAAAAACCGTTACGGGTTAGAACATCAGCACAATTCGTCAATGGTGGCGACGGTCAACGCCTAGGTGATGTCCTATTCTCTGGTGACAAAGCCAGATCATCAGTCAATGAGCTGGATTCGCTGGTGGAGGGCTGTGCCGCGGCATTTTCGGTAAAGAGCGACGGATTGGTTTGAAGATTGGTAATAATCTGCTGTACCTCTTCATGCTGTAGGATCAGCGGCAGTTCGTAGTGGTGAAAAAAGTAGAGCATGCAATGCTAAAAACAAGAATTCACCGTATTCGATACACAAAAATCAAATATACATGTATTTATCCGTCCATATGCTATATATCTCAGACACCAGACAATTTAAAAAGAAGGTTAAATTTCATGGATCCTGATCACGGGTCCTGAAGTTGTTTTCCTTCCGGCGTCCTAAAATTGGGTAGACCATGCAGATGCACCCAGGACCGTAGCACTTCCATCAAACAATACTACACCAAGCAAACTTTGAGCCTGTCCACGATCAGGCAGCTTAACGTAGGCGAGAGGTAGGCATTTCAATTACTTATTCAAAACAACCTCACAGAATCTATCGTTATCACCACATATAATCTCACCCTGAACAGGAACGCCTATGGCAGAGTAACGAAACGCAAAATGACTCGAGGCGGTATCACGGACAGTACAAATTGTGCAACTGACAGAGAATGACAAAAGGAATCATATTCTAATTATTAGACAGTGGCGGATCAAGGCAAAATCGAACTTTAAAGTCATCGTAGTGGTGCCTCTCACCCATTCTTTTATGATCACATCAGAGCAGAGTGCTGAACTTACTGCCCATTTCTGGATCGGCTGCATGATTGGGGGAATTCCTTGCCAAAGAGCAGTGTCAATTAATAAGATAATTGTAAGCCATGATAAAACTCGCATCTTTAGTATTTAAGGCGGAACAATTACCCATCTGTATCACAGATTTCATACATGAAACACTAACCTGAATGAATAACCACGACGTAAACAGCGCCAATCCGCTGTACTGGCCGTTGAACCGATAGTGGTACGCGTAAAATGCGAAATTATACAGGAAGAAAAACCTAGAAGGAATTTATTAGAATACTTTTCGAAGCCATTCGTTATTCTTTCTAAATTTGACGGTTTGGAGTCGAATTAAGTACTTCAATAGCAGTTTCACCATTTTAGTCTAACACCAACCTGGCCTACACAGTTGTAGGCATCCATCCTTTATTATTTAATGAACTACGAAAGAACACAACCAGTGGTCGGTGAAAAATTTCAAGAATTATTGGATAAAACACGTTGCAAGGAGAAATGACCACCGCTAGACCAGAAAAACACTAGATTGGACTCCAGAAAAGAGCAAATAGCCGATATGAAGCCATCCAGATCGATGGTACGATAAGTTGAAGAAACGGCTGGATACAAATGGCAAAATACAGAAAATTTATGGCAAAGTCTTTAAGGCATTCATCCAACAGTGGATCAAAAAAGGATGATGACCCTAAAATTGAACTTCCAGGTAAAGATGCTGAATTAAAAAGCTTTTCTTTCATACTGTAAACCAAGAAATCAGAAGACTTGTTGACTTCCGCTCATCCACGGCACAATATCAGAATGAGTCTAAGAAGTCACCTAAAAT